TCCATAAACTATGCCATCTTTTGTGTCTTTGTCAAAATGATAAACAAATAAATCTGATTTATATTTTTTTTACCTTTGTCCGGACCTCGAGAGGTCTCGGGCTCACCTGCCTCCACGTCGACGTCGTTGCTTTGCAGTGTAGGCTCATCGTCCCCGTCAAGATTATCCAGTCCTGCTTCATCAACATCCTCAAATAGACTATCAAGAGTGGGGAGATTCGCGTCTCCTCTACCAGAATAAATCTGGTTGAATTTTTCATCCGTCATAGCGTCCCCGATTAAATGATCTGGGACAGTAGGAAACGAAGAGACGGAGTGTCTTCCTCGAGAACCGTGTCCGCATGAGGTCGAACCATCGGAGGTGGCTTTAGCTTTGCCTTTACTCAATCTTCGGTTGACGTCGCCCATATCCACGGACCGTCTACCGGACTCCCTCGACATTTTAATATATATATTTTTGACATTAAAATAATATATTACTTTTGGAAATTAATTTTTTTAAAGCTTTAAAATATATAATTTTAAAGCTTTTAAAGTTTTTTATTTCTTATATAAATTTAATAAATTTCTAATTTCTTATATAAATTTTTAATTATTATAAATTTTAAAACTTTTTAAACTTTTTTAAAGCTTTAAAATATATAATTTTAAAACTTTTAAAGTTTTAAAATATGTATAAAATTTTTATGTTATTATATGAATATTAAATGTATAAAAATTAAATAGAGATAATAAGATTGAGAGATTGATAAATTGAGAGAATGAAAGATGAATTGAGAAATTGAGTGATTTTTTATGTAAAAAATGTGAGAATTTATAGATAGATCCTTCCCCCCCTCCCCCCTCCCCTCTTCCCCTCCCCCACCTCAACGGCTAAATAGCCGTTTGAGGTGTGCCCCCCACTATTTTTTTTGGCTTTTTGCAGGGCTTGGCTTGGGATTAGAAATGAACAAAAAAAAAAATTAACCGGTACCGGAACCGGACCGGTACCAAAAAATAGGTACCGGAACCGGTACCGAAATGGGCGGTACCGGTTCCCGGAACCGGTGACACGGCGACGACGACGGTGACGGTGGCTGGTACCGGCGGTACCGTTGCCGGTGATGGTACCGTACCGGTACCGTATCCACCCCTATTTATGTGTTTCCTTTCTACAAGGGGTCCTCTATCAATCCTATTGGATTGTGGAACCTGATTAATGTATGATGTACTCTAGTACCAAGTATATTAATGTTCACCCACTTTAATTATTCTCAATCAGGATGTACTCTTTATGCTTGATTGTTTTCTGCAATTGTGTAACTGAACATGTTCCGAATCATCACTATAAGTATATACCCCTACTCCATACATTAGGGGAGGATTCTTTTTTATTATTCTAATATAAGTTTAACTAAGTTTAAATTCATAATAAATAGAAAAAAAACAATGAAAATTTTATTTTTAAGAACACCCTTAGGATTCGTTTGGTGTATGAAATTGATGGAATTGGAATTGAATTTGAATTGAAATCATAATCAGAATTGAACTATCAATTCCAAATACACATAATTTTTGTGCTACCAAACATTATAATCGGAATTGAAATCCTAAATTTCAATTCCATAGTTTGAATTCCGTGTACCAAACAGGGTCTTAAAACAATGAAAATATTACTTTAACATAAACATTCTTTTCTTTTGGCATTTCTAAAATCCAGATGGATATTTCTAAGGCATCATAATTACAAGTCCACACTCAACTCTCCTTGAATATTCAATTTTTTTAGATCATTATTTTAATAACATTAACAAAAAAAATATACGGAGTAAAATCACCTTCAAGAAATTAAGTTATTCTCAAAATTACTCCATAACTCTTTTAAGATTTTATATTCGATCATTCCAAAAATAAAAAATCAAATGTCCAAAATTCTTCCCAGATATAAGTTGAAATATTGAATCATAACAATGATTGGATTACAAAATGAAAAACAAAGAGATTATAAATTTGATCGCGAATTATGGAAAATGTATATTTAGTTATAACATAAATTTAGTAAAATTTAATTTATTTAATTTATAATTTTAAATATCAAATTTTTAGAATATTTAATTATTTTAAATTATATTTAATTCGTGGTCAAATAATACCACCTGACCAAAAAGTCAAACTTTTTAGTGATGGAAGGAGTAGCAAACAAAATAAGGAGTCCTATTTAAATTCAAATTACTACTTTTAACAAATTACTACAAATTAAGAATAAAAAAAGTAATTAAACAAAAAATTGAAACATGTACGCCCTCCGTCCCAAAAAGTTTGTTACGTTTAGAAAAAACTGCGTCCCGTAAAGTCCGTTACATTTCTATTAAAAAAACCACTTTTACCCCTTACTTTTTTATACCCTACCTATCACATCATACTTTTTTTCTAATAATCTACCCATCACATCCTACTTTTACCCATCACATCAAGGGTATTTTTAGAAAGTCAATACCAAAATATCCCTCCTTTAATTTTCCAAAAAGTCAAACCGTCATATTCTTTTTGGGACGGAGGGAGTATAAGGAACACATGGGACCATGGGAGTTTGGCTTAAGGAGTCCAATTCAGATAAAAAGTAATTAAACAAAAAATTAATCTCAGCCTATTCGTCTTCCCATCTCAGATTTTCAGCATGCAGATTGAACCGCTGATCTTTTTCATCATGGGGGCACATCGACCTACCATCCCCGGCGGTATACTAAGGTCTAAGGATACTTGGCCGGAAATTCGTCGGGGGCACGTGTTTGGGCATCTCACACCCACCCCCCCGATGGGTTGGATTGGATCAATACATTTTGGTCCATTTTTCTCTCCTCATTTGGTGTGAGATAGTTTGCATCTCTACAAACCTTCTCTCAAATTAGGACCACCTACACAATTTTCGGCCTCCCCTCCAACCATTTTAAGGTTATTTTACTCCATATACATTTTGAGAACGAGATTTTAAGCTGGAATCTGAATCAGAGACCTATTGGGATTGTGACTACATGATAATAACTCGAGCTGTACATGTTAAGGAATCCCAACTCCTTAGGCTACTTGTGGATCAAGATTAAGGAAGTTGTATTCAAGCCAACTTCTACTAAAAATCGCAGCAGGTCCCTGGGAATTACTCGCAGCAATCGAGAAGGAAAAATAAGAATAAACGCTGATGTAGATCGTTCCCGCCGCGTCCCGGAGCTTCCCATGCGTGAAGAAGGTTACAATCTACATGAAGGAGGAGATCTTCAACGCCAAACAGATCGTGACGTCCAGGAGATGAACTAGAGCTGAACGAGTGGGCTGCCAACACGTTTGTCCTCGTGGTCTCGGTGGAGATGTGATAGCTAAAGCGGATCTGTACAGGGTACAGGTTAGAAATCTTAGATTAGAAGTTTTGTCATAACAAATCGGAGAAGTATGTTTCATCATGTTGTTATGTACCGGTGAAACTTGCATCTTTTTTTAGCAAAAGTCGTATGGCCGTGAATCTAAGACCAATGAATACATGGAAAGAGAAGATAAAAAATATAAGAACACAAAATCATAGAGGATTGAGAAAGCACACTTTGCCCATGGCTTGCAAGACTAATAAAATTACTTTTTTGGGACATCATACCCCAAAAAAACATTAGCACTTTACAAATTTTCTTCAAATCAATTGACATCATATGGGAATACTACTTCAACCCATGACTCTTTTATGTGCACCAATTCTCGTTACCGTATGACAACATTTATTTTTTTATACTCCCGGGTAATAGAATATCAGGTCAATTATATGTACAAAACTAAAGAGACTTGTTGATTATAGAAAATTTAAGAGCGAAGCAATAAAAGCGGCATTGACTTTGTTTACAATAATAACAAGTGGCAGATTCGATGTGTATGATGTGCAGGAGTTCAAGTGAATGTATAACCATGAAACTAAAACCCGTGGAATGGTCCCGACGTTGAATCTTGGCTCAGAAGAAGGCTAGCCTTATGCTTGACTATTTCCAATAAGATAGGATTGGATCTTCTTTATCGGAATCTTGTAAAGATTGTAAAGAAAGGAATCGGCCTACATCTTTGCTAGGCCCCATCTTGGATATCCTTTACCGTTGATTAATTTATCCACGCTCACTGCCTTCATTTAGGAGAACCATGTTAGACAAACATAATTAGAAGATTTTATGTCCACAAGTTAGGCCACATTCTCAAGCTAAGAACCAACTAAAGCGACAAAAAGCAATTAGTCTTGGAACATTACAACAACAAAACATTAACCCAGTGCCTCAATGGCTCCCGCCCATTGCGGGGTAAGGAGGGGTCGGATGTACGCAGTCTGACCCCTATGTTTAAAACATAGAGCGGCTATTTCCAGATTACACATGATAAGAAGTTGCATTGACTAATTGCTACTTCACAATTGCAAGAAGTACAGAAAATTTAAAGAACCAATTTCCTTTATTCCATCATACCCCAAACCCAAAAAATAGTGAATCTTGGGCTCCATAAATTATCTCCAAAAATTGCATAAAGACAAGATAAATGTTGGGACTGCGCGTGCCCTCACCCCAACCCCGCATTAGTATGATATTGTCCGCTCTAGGCCAAGCCCTCACGGATTTGTTTTTGGGCACATCCCAAAAGGCCTCATACTAATTGGGTTGGGTGAACCTATATATTTTGGTTCATTTACTCATACTCATCCGGTGTGGGACTTGGAGGAATCCCAACAAACCTCCCCTCATCCAAGGACCACACAACTTCCGACCTCCCCTCCAGCGGTAATCCATTTTTCCTTTTATCTGATAACCATCTTGCACCGCCGCACACTCTTTGCGGGACACGCCGCCCGACCTCCTGTCGGGAAGACTTTCGACGCAAGGCTCGAACCGCAGATCTTTCCTTCGCTGGGCTACACCATTTGATCCGCCAAATCATCTTGTACCGTCGTGACTATAACTTCACGGGACGCGCCGCCCGACCTCCTCTCGTCGGGAAGACTTTCGACACAAAGCACCACTTGCAGATCCTCTTTCTAGGTCTTGGTCCTATTGTTACACCGTCACACCGAGATTTATCCACACTGCACAGTCCGCTGCTCACGCCCGCAAGAACCTGGGCTCCGATACCACATGTTGGGACTGCGCGTGCCCTCACCCCAACCCCACATTAGTATGATATTGTCCGCTCTGGGCCAAGCCCTCACGGATTTGTTTTTGGGCACATCCCAAAAGGCCTCATACTAATGGGGTTGGATGAACCTATATATTTTGGTTCATTTACTCCTACTCATCCGGTGTGGGACTTGGAGGAATCCCAACAATAAAAGAGTAATAACATTATCAAAAACACTCCAGATGGGAAATTGGGTGTGATTGGCAATCCCATTTTTCTTCCTCATGCAAAGAGATGTCTCATAGCAGCCCACTTTGACTTCAATCCATGTTCTAGCTTTTGGTTTGCACAATCCACCTCCAAATCTTCAGCTCCAATATTGCTAGCCTTCTCCTCAACAAGACAACACACCATCTGCTTTGACACATGCTCTCTTTCCTCTTTGAGCATCTGACTCTTTCTTTCGAAGACCTTCAACTCTGCTTTCAATTCAGTTTCTTTGTTGTTTAGCTCCTCCACTTCAGTCTTTATTCCCTCTTCTCTTTTCACTAAATCTTGAAGAACACTTTTGGTCTCCACGAAAGTAGACCGGACATGCTCACCAGTGCCCTTGACTTGAACTAAGTCTCTCCATTCTTGCACTATTTGAGGAAAAGTGGCTTTCAAGTTCGCAATTTCTTTGGCCTGCACATCACTGAACACAGATATGTTGTTGGCTAGTACAGAAATGAAATCCATCACTGCCGCCTCATTGTTGGGATCAGCGAAATCATCCAAATGGTATGATATTAGTTTGCCGAGAATTCCTTCCGCAAAAGTCACATGTCCTTTAAACAAAGGCCTATCACACGTTGGAGACATATATGCCGAGCTGGATGGTGTCTTGGGCAATGACTCGAGAAATGATTGAGCCTCGATGTACCCAAGTTTCACTGGATCCATAGTGACACAAGAATCTGAATCCTGATGGTCACAAGCAAAATGTTTCTTTCTTTTTTTTTTTATATTAAAAAATTATATACAAATCAGAAAAGAACCAAGGCCAATGTCATGGAAACATCAAGCTTACTTTATCTGTGGGAGTTGGAGAAACATCAATTTCAGCTTCAATCAAACATGTGTCTTCTACAAGATAACCTTCACTTTTATCATGAAACTTACTGAGCTCCATAACCATTTGTTCTCATTGACGAGAAAGGTGAGAGAGTAAAGCTTTTCAGCATCCAATTGGGAGAAATTTTGAATCCTCCATGTGAATTTCGACATCTCAGACTACACTTTGCTTATTAATTGGTCTTTGGAGAAGAAACCTATGACAGAGTTCTTCGTGTATGTATGTCTCTGGCAACACCTTTCCATCTTTCTCCTAACTTTATCTTCCCCTGTTTCCGACGACTCCACTTCCCGTCAGTATCGATTGTCATTGGGACAAAGAAAAGGTCACCTTCATCATTTGTTCTATTGGCACAATACAACAAAGAATAAATTTACATGTATTTCAAAAGTTTGTATTTACTCCGTACATTTTTTTTAGTTTATATTTACAATTTTTTGTCAATGTAAATATGAGGTTGATAACTTATATTAATGTAAAATGTCTATACAAACTTTTATGGTCATACTAACAATGTAAACTTTTATGTTACACACTTTGAATACAATCTTTTGATCACACTTAATATGATTGACAAAGGTAGTGTTCCGTTTAACATAATTTTTCTTCTTAATATTTATTCTTATTATAATTAAATCAGATCAGACTAAATTAGATTAAACAATTTTAAATATAATCACAATCATATTAAATCGGACCAGATTAGATTTTCAAAAAATCAGACAAAGGAACGCATCCATAGTATCAATGTGTGTCAATGCAACACACCGTGTAAAATAGTGTGCACCGTGTATTAGTTCATACTATCTTGGCATGGATAACAAAATTTGATAATGAATAAGAAATGTACGGTGCAAGAAAAGCTGGTGTACAATGCATTATGCAAATTCGATTCTCACCAAACATGGGAGGGGAAAAAATCATTATAGGAGGAAAAATTCACAACAATACTGTTGATTTAGTAATCCAACTCAACTGAATAATTGTATACATGGGTGTTTATATAGGTGAGAATCCCTACATGAATTAGGATTCACCAAATATGGAAACTAACATAAATAACAATTCTACCATAACTACACTTCTTGCCATATATGCCTAACATCCCCCCTCAAGCTGAACGTCGTGAAACGAGAGGAAGCTTGGCAACCAGTGTGGAGTAGCGTGGTGAAGAGAGAGCCTTTGTGAGAAGTTCCGCTAACTGCTCACTGGAAGGAACATAGGAGACTGTCATTTTTTCGGCAATTACCTGTTCGCGTACAAAGTGACAGTCGGTGCCGACATGCTTCATGCGTTTATGGAACACTGGATTCTTGGTTAGGCAGATGGTGGATTGGTTGTCGCAGAGTAGGTGTGGAGGAGATAGCTTAATCTGCAAAATATCAAACAAATAGGTGATCCACATCACCTCTGCTGCTGCGGCCGAGAGGGCCCTGTACTCGGCCTCGGTGGATGAGCGAGAGACACGACTCTGTTTTTCCGTACTCCAAGAGATTAAATTATGCCCAAGATATATCAAATAACCTGTAACAGACCGTCCATCTGTCATATCATTGGCCCAGTCTGAATCAGA